TCCAACATTGGCAGGGAAGGCCTGTGCCAGCAACCATCAGGGAGGTCCACCTCGGTAGTGTGTGTGTGTGTGTGTGTGTGTGTGTGTGTGTGTGTGTGTGTGTGTGTGTGTGTGTGTGTGTGTGTGTGTGTGTGTGTGTGTGTGTGTGTGTGTGTGTGTGTGTTTGTGTTTCATTCACAGTGCGGTATAATGAGACAATAACAGGCTACAGATGAGACACACACACACACACATATATTTATATAAATATATACAATTTCAGAATCACAAACCAACTGAGACCTGTCTGTCCGCCGCATCTACGCACTGTACCACACACACTTACACACTGTACCACACACACTTACACACCACACACACCTACACACTGTACAACACACACACACCTACACACTGTACCACCTACACACTGTACAACACACACACACCTACACACTGTACCACCTACACACCACACACACCTACACAACCTTAGAGCTCCTCCAGAGAGCCTCCTCGATGCTCGATCCTCGGTCCTCGAAGTGCATTTAGAGAAATGAGATGTCCTTCAACATGGCGCTCTGAAACATGTGTGAGCGTGTGTGTGTGTAAAAGTATAATAATATTTAGAATGAGTATGCATGCACTTGTTTCCCCACAGCGCCCCCGTGTGGCCAGAGACAAAAAACACAAGACGTCCCAAAGTTAGTTTTTAAATATTATTTTAATACTTTTCTTAAAAAAAGATGTGAACAAGATGAATCTATTGACCCCAGACGCATCGCTCTCCAACAAACCAACAGGAAGTTAACCGCAGGGAACAGGAAGAGGAATCAAAACATCACATTTGAAAAACAGGGGAGAAATAAAAAAGATGGATTCTAGGATCTGCAAACGACAGGAAACACGATGGCACACGGGAAGACAAGCAGGAAGCTATGATACAGATAAAACATCAAAATAAAAGCGCTGCAGAAACTCGGGCCGCTTCCTGGGGTCCGGTTTGAAAAGGGGAGGAAATTAAATATCAATAAAAACCTTTAATATAAAGTGAAAAGAAGTTTAAATGTAGAAAAGGTGACGGTCAGCACTCAGATGGGATTTGGCATAGAGAGAAACGCAGACACCATCCTCTCGATAAAAAAGTTCTTTACAGTAAATCTCTACAAAATCAAACTCCGAGACCCCCCCCAATTCAAGCTCCTCTCGCGATGGTGACGTTTCGTCGTATATAATATATATTCATGTATCTATTTATATATATAATATGTATAATTTGTAGGGTTTACAGGCCTCTCAGCGCTGCTCCAATTAGAGACCATTAGCAGGAGGTGGGTCTTACAAAAGTGTGTGTGTGTGTGAGGAAACACTCCCCCCCTCACACTTCACACAATATTCATCATTAAATTAACTCCTCTTCTTCGCCATCGTTTCTCTGTTTTCTCTAAAAGTGTAAAAGTTTTTAATCCGCAGATTTGATTATTTCCCGTAAACACCAAACGATCCCGCTCTCGTCACGTGACACAAGCCAGCTGTTCAGCCACTGAGAGAGGTGTGTGTGTGTGTGTGTGTAGGTCCTCCTCTCAGAACAGATTCTCCTCAAAGATGGCCATCAGGTCGCTCTGGAAGTTTATATCGATGGTGTCGGCCATCTGAAGGAGAGAGAGAGCATTAAAGAGCGTCTAGGACTAAGGAGAAACATTCGAAAGAGATATTCTCTTCTCACCGCCTCTCTGCGGCGGCGCTCCTGCTCGCGGCGGCGGGCGATCTCTCGCTGGTCGATGGCGGCGGGGGAGGGAGGGGGTAGAGCCGGTT